ACACACACACACACACACACACACACACACACACACACACACACACACACGACTGGGGGTGGTGGTGGTTGTGTGGGGAGAATGCTCGTGAAGAGTGGTTTGCCAAGGTGTTTTTCTTTATCCTTCCTGCAGGACCCAGGAGATTCAGAGATTTCTTCTTTCTTTTAACACGGTGTTAAGCTGATCTGATTATCATTATAAGGGCTTAAAGTTTAAGAGAACTGGCATTTACAGAGCTTAGAGGTCTGGGAATTTTCAAGATGTGGGACAAAGTACTACAAGTAGTAGAGGATGTGTCTCATTCTCTCAACAAAGCACAGTAATCCTAAAATTCAGTGTGCATAAGTATTATCTGGTTGTTGTTAGCTGCAGTTGATTCTGACTTAATGCAGAGTAAGAACTGCTCCGTAAGGTTTTTCAAGGCTGTGACTTTTGGAAGCAGATCGCCAGGCTGGTCTTCTGAGGAGCCTCTGGGTGGGTTCAAACCGCCAATCTTTCAGCTAATAGTTGAGCACTTAACCGTTTGTGCCATCCAGAATCATCCAGAGGCTTGGTAAAAACTCAGATCTACAACCCCTGCCTTCTGAGATTCTAATACGGTTGATTTGGGTTGTTGCTAACAGACTACATTTTTAGGTAGCACCTCAGGTGGGTGCTTATGAAGACTCATTGGTAAATTAGAAGCATGGATTCTGGGGTCAGAGGTCTGGAATGAGGTCAGTCTTGGCTTTGCCACTTATCCACTGCAACCCCTCAGGCAAGTTATTTAGCATCTCTTAATTTCTTCCTGAAGCCCTGGCCAGGCAGTGGTTAAGAGTTATGGCTCCTAACCAAAAAGTCAGCAGTTCAAATCCACCAGTAGCTCCTTGGAAACCCTATGGGGCAGTTCTACTCTGTCCTATAGGGTGGCTATGAGTCGGAATTGATTCAACAGCAATGAGTTTTTTTTTTTAATTTCCTACTGGAGGGCCTTGGAGGTACAGCAGTTAAAGTGTTCGGCTGCTAACTGAAAGGTCAGCAGTTTGAACCTACCAGCCGCTCGGAGGGAGAAAGATGTGGCAGTTTGCTTCTATAAAGATTTATAGCCTTTGAAACACCATGTGGCAGTTCTACTCTGTCCTATAGGGTCGCTAAGAGTCGGAATCGACTTGACGACAGTGGGTTTGGTTTTGGGTTTATAATTTCTTCCTCTATCTCATTGTGTCTTGTGACTTGTGAGGGTTAACCAAGATAATTCAAATAAACATTTAGTACATTTATTTATGCTGAAAATGTTACTTAGTGTTGTTGTTATCATTATTCTTATTAAATACTTATTCAAAGTCACTGAGAATACAATTATTAAGCACTTAGTCAAAGTCACTAAGAGTACAATCAACAAAAGGAAAAAATAACCTGCTGTAATTCCAAACATACCGTAGACTTTCTATCTGCTGCTACCCTAGACTGTTCTTCCCTTTGCGTAGCTGGCAACTTTGTATTCAGAGCTCTGCTCAAACTCATTGTCTTCTGAAGTCTCTCCTGACCACAATGTCTAAAAGAGACCCTCAGTCTCTATAACACAGTTTTTATTTTATTTTCTTAGTAACAGTTATCACTATCTGAAATTATCTTGTATATTTGTTTACTTATTTATTATCAGTTTCCCTTCACTAGGGAGTACGTTTCATGAGATCAGGGACCTTACTCTTCAAGAGATCAGGGTCCAAAAGCAGAGAACAAGACAAATGTTCCCTACTTTGCTCCCAGCACCTAGAACAGGGTGTGGTGCAGAGTAGGCATTTAATATTTATCAAATTAATGAATGAAAAGTCTAGTGAAGAGACAGATATGTAAACCAAACCTGTAGTCATCAAGTAGGTTCTGATTCATGGTGACCCCATGTGACAGGGTTTTCTTGGGTGTAATCTTTATGGAAGCAGATCACCAGGCCTTTCTTTTAGGTGCCACTGGGTGGGTTGGAACTGCCAACCTTTTGGTTAGTAGCGGAAAGCAAAGCATTTTCACCACCCAGCTACCTAATATGTAAACAATTACATATAAAACAATGTACTAAGTGCTACAATAGACCCAAGGGCTTATGGGAGCTGTATTCTAAATTGTACAATATAGGAAATTCTGGGGTATATCACTTCAAGACAGGGCAAAAAAATCTCCCATTTTTCTGAAAACTTTGAAGATGTAGAACTTTCTGAGGCAAGAAAGACAGGGTGGAACTGATATTAGATCTCTCCAGACCACATCTCAGGACGCAGTGCAGAGCTTTTGTATTTTTTTCTGCATGCCAAACCAGCATTAACAGTAGAGGTAGGGGACTTGAATGTAAGGAAAATGCCTTTCAGAATCAAAGTCAATAGATCCTCTCAAGGCGTTCCCAGGGTGGAATGCCTCAGGATTGGGCTACATGTTCTGGAATTATACAGAATGAAGAGGACTCAGTGTTTACTCTAGGCAGGCTTTTGGGGAGAAAATGTAAGGTATTTTTTATCCTTGTCTTCAGATGTTATTGTTGTTGTTAGGGGCTGTAGAGTCAATTTCCACTCATAGCAACCTTATAGGACAGAGAACTGTCCCATAGGGTTTCTGTCATCGTTAAGATTGTATGTCAACTTGGCTGGGCAGTAATTCTCAGTGTTTATATGTGATCACTCCCATGATTGAATCTGCTGTGAGTAGCCAATCAGTTGAAAGGGAGTTTCCTTGGAGGTGTGGCCTGCATCCAAATATAGGCAGACTTCCTGGCTTTTTGCTCCCTCTAGATCCTGTGGCTACCTCCTGTTTGTCTGACCTCCGGTTCTTGGGACTTGAGCTATCAACTTATCTGCCGATTTGTGGATCATCACAGCCTGTGAGCAGAGCCCTGCTCTCTGACCTGCTGATCTTGGGTTCGCCAGCCCCTGCAGCTATGTGAATCAGGAGAGGCCTTGCGGTCTTGCCTGCCAATCTTGGGACTGGTTGATATTCACAGCCTGTGAGCAAGAGCCCTGCTTTCCTACCTGACGATCTTGAGTTCGCCAGCCCCTGCGGCTATGTGAATCCAGAGAAGCCTCTATCCTAATCCACGGACTTGAGACGTTCCAGCTTCTACAATTGCATGAGCTGTTTCTTCGATAGAAATCTCTCTCTCTATATATTTATATGCTTTACTGGTTTTGCTTCTCTAGAGAACCCAGCCTAAGACAGTTTCCAAGGAGTGGCTGGTGGATTTGCACTGTGGACCTTTTGGTTAGCAGCCAAACACTTAAACACTGTGCCACCAAAACACACTATGTGCAAGTATGAAAAAAATACATCCTCCTACCTCCATCATAGGAGCCCTGGTTATGCAGTTGTTAAACTGCTCAGCTGCTAACCAAAAGATCAGCAGTTCAAACCCACCAGCCGCTCTGTGGAAGAAAGATGTGGCAGTCTGCTTCCATAAAGATTACAGCCTTGGAAACCCTATGGGGCAGTTCTACTCTGCCCTATAGGGTCACTACGAGTCGGAATCAACTGGATGGCAATGGGTTTGGTTTTTTTTGGTTTAACGATAGGTTGAGGAGCCCTGGAGGTGCAGTGGTTAAAGTGCTCCAAAAGATAGGCGGTTCGAACCCACCAGTCACTTAGCAGGAGAAAGATGTAGCAGTCTGCTTCTGTAAAGATTACAGCTTTGGAAACCGTATGGGGCAGTTCTACTCTATCCTATAGGGTCTCTACGAGTCAGAATCAACTCTATGGCAGTGGATTTTTTTTCCCTTTGGTTAATGATAGGTTGGTTAAAAATGTTTCAATGATTATAAAATCATAAACTGAACACAGAACAAGACCTTTTCTTGCAGTTTTTAGTAGTCCATAAAAGATTCAGCTCATTATATCGGTGTGACTTTGTACATCTCAGAAAGGATGCATTCAATAAGTGTATTTGAAGTTTTTCGTCTTTTCTGCTTTTCCCCTGCGGGAGTACCTGTGGAGAGGCTAATGATGATAGTTGACATGGATTAAAGGCAGACAACACATAAGTTAGAAACTGCTGGAAAGAGGCTGGTTGATGGAATAGAAACCCCCTGAGGAATCTACTCCTGAAGGATAAAAAACATCAGCCAATCCAGTAACAAGACCGGAATAGGTCAAGCTCCCCGCCGTCTCCCGACTAACCAAGTCTAAAACTGGCGCCTGCGCACTGATTGGCCGCGGCGGTTTTCCCAGAGGGGGAACTTGATTTGCTCCAACGATGCGGGACAGGTATCCGCAGCCAGCGCCCCTAACGTAATCAGGGCCGGTACCGAATCCTGGGAGCGCCAGCCATTGCCTCAAAGCAGATCCAAACAGTTAATTTTTGAAAACGCAGGAGGTCCAAAGAGACCTGGAACTCCATGGTAGCCACGATGTAAGCCGTAACATCTCTCCCCCACTTCCTGCCGCAATATCTTGTTGCCAGAGCAACTGTGGGCGTCACCAACCTGACGGCGGAAATAGGGCACAGAGAGTACACGTCTCCAGCCCATTGACAGATCTATCGCGCAGGCGCATTAGCTTTTTCTGGCTGTGGTTTGCTGTCTAGCGATGCATTCTGCGTCTGCGTATTAGTTACTACGCGCCTTGGTCTACCTTTACGCCTGCGCATATAGACATTCCGGGGAGGGCGGAGCTGGTCCTCAGCGGTGCGCATGTGCAAACATTACATCCGGTGTGGCCACCGGATCAGCCAGGAGTTTCAGGAACGTGAGCTGGAGGCTTGAGAGTATAGTCATGTCGGCGTCGGTAGTGTCGGTGATCACGCGGTTCTTAGAAGAGTACTTGAGCTCTACTCCGCAGCGTCTGAAGTTGCTGGATGCATACCTCCTGTATATACTGCTGACCGGGGCGCTGCAGTTTGGTTATTGTCTCCTCGTGGGGACTTTCCCCTTCAACTCTTTCCTCTCGGGCTTCATCTCTTGTGTGGGAAGCTTCATCCTGGCGGGTAATGATTCTATACGTAATCGCAATAATAATGTGTTACTTTGGTGCGTTGCCTTTTATTCTCACAATACTCCATTTTATATTAGACCACCTCCTCACGAAGCTTTGGGAAGAGCCTATCTTGTTGTCGTTTTGTGAGTGGGTCAGTTGAGGCTCGGAAAGGTTGTCACATGCCTAGTGCCACACAGCTGCCTAGGATGAAATTATATCTCCAAGGAAACCACCCTCATGCCGCTGCTCATCCTGGTGATCCACTCCTCTTTAGATCGACCGCATTCCAACTTTCACTTAGCTTTCTAACACACCTTCAAAGCTGGTAGACTTTTAAAGTGAAAAATCTAACTCTGAATCATCTCTCATCTTGGTGTAATCACTACTAACGTCCAGTGAAATGTTTCAGTGAAACAGTGTGAAGAATAATATGTATTGCTTGGCGAATCATCCTTTACTGGACTTTGGCTTTTAACTATTCCTACTTATTTCTTGTAGATGAAGCTGTTATTTCACTATTTTGAACTCAGTTTTTATTCACACAGTTCTCCTTTAGTTTTAGTTTTTCCTTCTGATTCCCAGCGTTTGATACCTTGTAATCTGTCATATTTAATGAGAGCTGACTATCCCCATAAATTTTTGCCAAAATCTGACCCTTCCAGTTCACAAGGGAATCAGTGAATACAGAGTCCAAACTTGGTCCAGGGAGTGTTAGTCCAGTTTGTAGGTGGCCACCACATGGGCCTTTCCAGTCACTGCTCCTTGGCTTTGAAAACATGCCAGAATTTATGGTGTTTTTTTTTTTTTCCTAAGATGATCATCAGGTCATCAATTGAATTTTGAGACTAATACAAGGTATTATGGTGAGAGGTGTTGGGGATACATTAAGATATGTTCCTTGACCACAAAGAGTTTACAGTCTAGCTGGGGCACCAACCAAAAAAAAACGGATACTGTTGAGTCAGTTCCGACCATAATGACCCTATAGGACAGAGTAGAATGGCTCTATAGGGTTTCCAAGGAGCAGCTGGTGGATTTGAACTGCTGACCTTTTGGTTAGCACCTGAACTTTTAACTACTGTGCCACCAGTACTTCATAGTTGGGGCACAGGCATACAAAATACAGAATAAGAATTGTTTGGAGACTTCATTTACGGTGATATTTAAAGTTACAGATCTATAGAATGCTTTTTTACCCATTCATATCGCTAGTTCTAACTCACACAACATACGCTCCTGCCTTCTTCCTTTTTTTTCTCATAGCTGAAAATAGGCCTGAGGACTTAATGGTCCCTGGATGGTACAAATGGTTAAGTGTGTCTTGGAACCTACCCAGTAGGCCTGGCCATCGGCTTCCGAAAAAGTCACAGCTGTGACCCTATGGAGTGCAATTCTACTCTGAAACAGGAGGAGTTGCCACAAGTTGGAATTGACTTGATGGCAACTGCTTTGTTGTTTTTTTGAAGGACTTAATTATTTGTGCACTAGCCTGGTCTGGAGTTGTAGTGTTAGTGTGTTGATTGGATATTTAATTATCATCTTTGAGTTTCGCCCAGATGACCAAGATCTGGTTTTCTGTGACAGTATACTGGCCTTTGGAGTGATATATTACCATTATCAGATACACCATACACACTTTAGCAAGGCAGGAGGGGCTTCAAAGCTGATTCTTTTTTTTTTTTTAAAAGAAATCATGCTGAAGTCACCCTGGTTTCATAAGCCTTTAGGGGTTAAGAATGACTCTTGAGAGCCCCTTAAAAGAGTGTGGTTTGTTGAAGAGTAGGTATGGACTAAAGTTATAGATTATTATGATAAAGTCTTAAGTTTTTTGAGCATATGCCTTTTCCTAATGCCAAGTTGTGTTTTTGAGACTGGTGTCTCTATAAGTCAGAATCGACTTGAAGGCAACGGGTTTTTTTTCCCCTCTGCCCTCCCGTGGGAGCTAGATCAATTACCGAAGAGAATGCCTAGTGAAAGTGCACGTTCGTTAATAGTGGGATCAATATGGGAGATTAAACCAAATTTATTAGATAACAGATAATTAGGCCAGAGAAGTGAAAGTGTCTTCGGGAAGAGAAAGGATTCATGACAAATCATAATTGACACAGAAGATATTATTTACACTTCTCTTGATAGCATTGATCTTGTTAAATTTACCTCCTCTGCCATTTGTTAGCCCAGATCGTCAAGTGCTGGCTGGTTTTAGTGGAGAATTTGAAATTCGGATGCTTATTCTTTGTTCTGATTGTTAGTAAAAGAAGCCTTGTACCTATTAGTAACTTCCCTGTGGTGTGTTCCCTGTTGGACAGGAAGGGAGGGGACTAGTTTGACTGGAGGAGAATTGTAGGAGATTAAGTTGAAGGATGGAGTCCCTGGGTGGGGCGATTGGTTGCTAACTGAAAGGTTGGAGGTTCAAGTCTACCCAGAGGTGCCTAGGAAGAAAGACCTGGCAGTCTGCTTCCAAAAAATCAGTCATTGAAAACCCAATGGAACACAGTTATAATCTGACACACATGGGTCACCATGAGTTGGAATTGACTTGACAGCAGCTGATGGTGATGGTGGGTGAATGTTGAAGGACTGGGTGGAGCTGGATGTTAGAGCTTTGGATGCCAGGCCAAGGAGTTTGGTCCTTATCCTGTAGGTAATAGGAAAGCATCTGAGGATTTTCTTTTTTTGAGTGGGGGGAGAATCTTAAAATTGGTGTTAGCATGTAGGATGAATTGGAGGGAAAAGTCCTTTAGTTTGGTTACCTAATTTCTTTTTCGGCAGTCTATATTTATATTCTCTTCCATTCTGTTGCATATGTTAATTAGCACATGCTCTTTGGAAATTAATCAGTACATTTTTAACCAATTTAGAATGCTACCACACTTTTAAGAAGCGTGGTGTTATTGGGCCTGATGGTATTAAAATGGTCTTTTTTTTCCTATCCCCTCCTGGCTGGGAGATTTACCAATGGTTTCAAGGAGCCAGAGGTAGAAAATATCCTTTGAAAGATTTTTTTTTTGTTTGTTTTTGAATCAACAGAGTACAATATAGTAGGCTTTAAAGGGACCTCAGAGGTAGAGTATTTTTTCTTCTTGTAGACGAATTTCAAACATCCTCAGCAGGTGATTGCTTATCTTGTGGTTAAATATCTCAAACCAAAGAAAAAAAAAACTAAACCTGCTGTCGAGTTAATTCTGACTCATAGCAACCCTACAGGACAGAGAACAATTGCCTCATAGGGTTTCCAAGGCTGTAATCTTGGAAGCAGACTGCCACATCTTTCTCCCTTGGAGAGGCTAGTGGGTTCAAACTGCCAACCTTTTGCTTAGCAGCTGAGTGCTTAACCATTGCACCACCAGGGCTCCTTCAGATATCTCTAGAGGAGGCCCTCTGCCCCTTTTTTAGAGTAACAATCCAGGGTTGGCAGCCCTTCTAATTTGATCATCCTTTACCTGACTGAACTCTTTCTGCTGTTTTAAAGTGCTTTTTTTAGATGGGTAAGTAGAGAACATTAAGCCTATCCCTAAAATAAGTCTTTGATCTTGTAATTGTTTTTTAAGTCATTTCACAACTTTGGTCTACTCTGTTCTTTAATCTATACAGAACAATTTCGGCTTAAATTAAAAAAAAAAAAAGATAAAAGGTTTGTTGCCCCCAGTTTACAAATTCAAAAGCAGTTTGAATCTGAAAGGCAAAGGGGCTGGATCTGGAGTGTTTCTGTCTCATGGGAGCTATTGGGCTGTGTGGACTGGGACCCAGTCTTTTGAAATTACTCATCGCATTTATGGGTCCTAATGTTCTCTCCCATAACGGATACGTAAGAGGTTGGAAGTTTGCCAGCGTTATGCCTGATAATCTTTTTTTAAATATCTACCGTATCAATTGTCACCTGCTCTCAATATCTCTTATCTAGAATACTCTAATTCTGCTCGCTGGTCTCCCTGCCTTTACTCTCTCTCCCTCCAGTCCATCTTCTACTATGTTTACAGGCTTGATTTGATTTGCAGATCTGATTGTGTCACTCCACACATAAAACATGTCGTGGCTCCCAAAGTAAAATCTAGATTTTATGATACAGGCTCTTTTTATCTCCAGCTTCATCTCTTACGCCCCACAGTGTACTTCATGCTCCAGCATTATTGAGCTGCTTGTTATTCCCTGAACATGTCAAGCTTTTTTGCTGTTGCTTGCCTGCCTGGAAAATTCCTTCACTTCTTAGACTTCTCAGCTCAAGTGCTGCTGCTTCCTTTTGGGATGATCCCAGCCAAGTTAAATTCTCTTTCACCTGTATTCTGCTTCCCCTTTGTGTGTGTGTGGTGTGGCACTTTCATATTGTGCTGTATTTGTTTGCATGTCTGTCTTCCTGCTGGAAGGTTAGCCCTTGAGGGGCTGTCTTTTCATCTCTGCATCTTCAGTGCTTAAAACTGTATATGTTAAATTGCGAACATACATATATGACTTAAAATACTGAGCAGTTATGTGCCAGGTTCTCTACTAAGGTGCTGGAGATTCATCTGTGAAACATGCAGATTATGTAGAGCTCCTAATCTACCAGGAGATACAGGCAAGTAAATATGGGTATAGGGCTGTGATGGAGACGTATTGGCCAGGATAGGAGCACAAATCTCAAACGGGCACTCAACCCTGCCCATCAGTCTTATAGTGCTTCCCTAATGTGTTAGCTTTCGGGGCCCTGGTGGCACAGTGGTTAAGAGCTCAGGCTGCTAACCAAAAGTTCGGCAGTTTGAATCCACCAGCTGCTCCTTGGAAGCCCTATGGGGCAGTTCTACTCTGTCCTGTAGGGTTGTTATGTGTCGCAATTAACTCAAGGGCAGTGGGTTTTGTTTTTTGTTTATGTTAGCTTTCCTAAATATGTTTCGTAACAGCTCTCCACACTCTCTCCTGTATTTCTTCTTTTCCTGTATTCTCAGGAATAGACAATCTTGTTTTATTTTTTCACTAAGAAATAGTGAGACAGGAAGGAATCCCTTCATTTTCTCACCCTGAATCATAGCAGTC